CTTTGTACCTTTGTACCCGTTGTTTCTGCACCGATTTCGGTCCCCCCGAACAGGGTCTCGGGGGCGCCGATGGGGGCGAATAGCACGGGGGAGAGCAAGACATGTATCTGAACTCGCCGATGGTCCATGCCTTCGGTGAAGCTCCCTGGCGAATACGTGTCATGCCCGCCCCTGGGCTATTCACACTCAGGTTGCATACTCGGGGGACCCAATCTGTCCCGTCGCGGTCCGATATCCGCGTCGAGCCCGTGCCGAATCCATGTCGGACTCCTCGGGTCTGCCTTCAGGCCGCGCCCGCGCCGGCGCCGGCGGGCTCAGCCTCCGCCGTGGCCGCGCGCCGCCGCCGCCGCGCCGGCGCCGGCACGCTCGGGCCCCGCCGCCGCCAGGGCGCAGCGCAGCGCCGATGCTGCGGCCGCGAGCTCCGCGGGGCCGAGCGCCGCCTCGAGCGGGTCGCTGGCGGCGGCTTCGAGCTGAAGCGGGCGGCACGTTTTGCTCGCGCCCTGGGCCGCGGGCCCCAGACGTGCTGGCGTCGTGGAGCAACAGGGACACGACGGGAGGCTCTTGGCCGGTCTCTCTGTGGGCCCTCGCGGGGCCCAGGGGCAGTCACAAAGCAGCTCGGGATGGGACACCGGCCCCGGGGACTGGGCCGAGACCTCTAGGCGGCGACAATTGTCATGACGTCGGGGCCGGGGAGGACGAGGAGGAGGAGGAGGAGAAGGAGGAGGAGGAGGAAGGAGAAAAATGAGCAGGAGGGGCAGAGGGAGAGGAGGAGGGGGGGAGAGGAGGAGGGAGGAGGAGGAGGAGGAGGAGGAGGAGGAGGAGGAGGAGGAGTCGAGCGTGCCGACGGAGGAGGGAGGAGGAGGGGGAGGAAGGAAGAGGAGCTGAAGGAGGAGGAAGAGAAAGAGGAGGAGGAGGAAGAGGAGTCGAGCGTGCCGACGGAGGAGGAGGAGGAGGAGGAGGAGCTGAAGGAGGAGGGGGAGGAGGAAGATGAGCAGAAAAAGGAGGAGGAGGAGGAGGACACCGTGTCCGAAAAAGTCGAGCGTCGGATGCCTGGAGCGGGGGGGCGTGGCACGGCGAGAGGCGAGTGGCACAGCACGGCGAGGGGCGAGGCGCGTCTCGCGCCCGTGGGGCACACGCTCGTCGCAGCCCCCTGGGATCCGGGCGTTGCAGCTGTTGGCGCAGCGGGCGTCTTCCTCCTCCTCCTCCTCCTCCTCCTCCTCCGTCTCCTCCTCCTCCTCCTCTTCCTCCGCCTCCTCCTCCTCGTCCTCCCGGTCCTCCTCCTGCTCCTCCTCCTCCCCCCCCCTCGTCGTCGTCGTCGTCGTCGTCCTCCTCCTCCTCCCTCCTCCTCCTCCTTCGCCTCCTCCTCCTCGTCCTCCTCCTTCTCCTCCTCCTCCTCCTCCGCCTCCTCCTCCCCCTCGTCCTCGTCGTCGTCGTCCTCCACCTCCTCCTCCTCCTCCTCGTCCTCCTCCTCCTCCTCCTCCTCCTCCTCCTCCTTCTCCTCCATGGGGTGGCAGAGCGGCGCTCCCTCATCGAATCCTGGGCGCGTTGCAGCATTTCTGCTCACACCGGGCCAATCTTCCCAGACTCCAGAGTATCACAGATCAATAGGGCTCGCAGAATCGTCGCAGAAAGGTGGGGTCTGTTCTTGATGTGCCTTTTCACGAGATTGCATTGTGATGAGGGGGGCCAGGGACACACATATAAAACATAAAAACATACATACATACATACATACATACATACATACATACATACATGCATGCATGCATGCATGCATGCATGCATGCATACATACATACATACATACATACGTACATTCATACCTACCTACCTTACCTACCTACCTACCTGCATACATACATACACACATACATACCTACATACATACATAATTGCCTACCTACCTACCTACCTACATCCATCCATCCATCCATCCATCCATCCATCCATCCATCCATACGTCAATACATACATACATATATACATACATACATACATACATACATACATACATCCATACATACATACATGCATGCATGCATGCATGCATGCATGTATGCATGCATACACATACATACATACATACATACATACATACATACATACATACATACATATATACATACATACATACATACATACATACATACATACATACATACATACATACACGTATACACACATATATACATACATATATATGGATATACATACATATATACATACATGCATGCATGCATGCATACATACATACATACATACATACATGCATACGTACATGCACACAAGCATACACATACAAACAAACGTACATACATGCATACATGCGTACACATAAATAACTACATACATACATACATACATACATACATGCATACATACATACATGCATGCATACATACATACATACATACATACAGACATACATACATACAGACATACAGGCACACACATATACGTACGTACATACATCCATATATACATACATACATACAAACATACTCACACTTACATACACACATACATACACACATGCATGCGTACATACATACATACATACATAAAGACATACATACATGCATACGTACATACATACATACCTGCGTGCATATATACATACATACATACAATCACGCATACCAATACACACATCAACACTCCCCATACTCTCCAAATATGCTTACTCTACAAGAGTTCTAACTCACACCCTCCTAGTTAGTCCGTTGCCCCCCCCTAATTCCGATGCCCCCCCCTAATTCCTATGGCTATGGCTATGGCTACGCCTCCCCCCTAACTCGTATGCCTGCGCCTATGCCTATGCATATGCACCACCTCTGAACGCTCCTATGCCTATGCCTATGTCTATGCACCACCTCTGAGCGCTCCCCCACCTCTTCGCATCATCACCAGCACCATCAGCATCACCATCGTCGGCACCATCAGCATCACCATCAGCTGACTCGGCTCCTTGGTAGCACGTGTCCGTAGACGCCCAAGCAGAGCGCGGCGCGGAAACGCCCGCGAGGGAGGCGTGGTCGGCGCGCTGCTCCCCTGACGCAGCTGCTGGGCCGCACGGTCCAGTACGGTACCATACAGTGCACTGGAGCGTGCGCATGTGGAAAGCAGGATCGCCCTCATCGTCATCATCATCGTCGTCATCACCATCATCACCCACGATTTATTTGGAACCAGCGCAGGCTGCTATTGTCTCACATGTTCTGGATTCTCATCATCCCTACCACTTCCAATATTTCCAATTACGTTCGAGGTAAACGACGATTGCATAATTGTGTCTGTGTGTTTTTGTTCCCCGCCTGATGTTACCCTGACGTCGGACCCCACAGGCTGAGAAACACATGAACGGCACCGGGTGCGGCACAGTATGGTTTTGAGACCCCTTCCAGCATTCACGTCGTCATTTTGCAAAACTGCACAAGCTGAAGGACAGTAGCATGTTGACCGACATCTCGAAATAAGGCAGCCGCAACAGCGTGGAGGAAAAGAAAGGGAGAAAGAGAGAGAGGTGGAGGATGATAATGGGTAAGATGACAAAGAAAGGTCTGTGCCACGAAAACCTTGATTGACATGAGCGCGAGCTCTAACAACTTCGCTGAACGAGAGAATGCCCCTCTCTTGAGCACTCTTCCTTGTCCTCCTCCTCGTCTTCCCGTCCCCCCCGCCCCCGCTTCCCCTCTCCAGCTCCCCCTCCTGCCCTCTCCCCGTCATTGACATGATGCGTGGACGCGTGAAGTTTGCATGTGGATCAATGTTGTGCCTCTGGGCCCCAAATCGGGGACGGCAAGGTAAGCGGCAACAAAGACCTGAGATGGGAAAAACTCACTTGCTGGTTAAACCTATGGTTACCAGAGTGGGTCTCGAGCAAAGTGTCATTGCAGCCTGGATATGAAAAGCTCTGTGGCACCACCACAACCTTTGTGGTGGAAACTTCGCGGTGCAACATACACACTTACACATATATATATATACATATATATACATATATTTGTACAGACATACGTACATACATACATACAAACAAACATCCAAATACGCATACATACATACATGCATTATTATTAGCACAGCATGGGCGCCAGTGCAAGGCGCCGCTGTCTCTTCGAAACCTCCCGCCGAGAGGAACGGCCGAAACCCCGCTCAGCTCTCGGCGGCACGCTCGCGCGAGGACGCGGCGCGCGCGCCCAGCGTCGCCCCGCCTTCCGCCGCCGCCCCGGCCCCGCGGCCGAGCGAGCGCCCCAGCCGAACGGCGGGCGGGGGCGAGGCGCCCCGACGGCGTGCCTCCGCAGGCGCGGGCGCGGGCCGCTCCTCAGTGGCCCGCCCGCCGCGCCCGTCCACCAGCCAGAGGGTCACGTCCATCATCGCTGGCCCCAACCACTCCTGACGACTCCGATGGAGCCCGCCTGTCGGCGCGGTGCCCAAGGGCTCCACGCCGCCGGTCTTGAACGTCTTCTTGAACGTGGCCGCGACCTCGGCCATCCCGATCGCCACGCACACGCGCTTGTGCTTCTTGCCGTACATGTCCTTGAACTTGAAGTACTTGAAGAAGTTCCGCTCGCAGACCCGAACGTGGAACGCCTCCACTGGCCCCTCGAAGTCGGAGGCCGCCATGTCCGTCGCGTTGGCCAGGGAGCGCACCGCCGCCTCTACAACGGCGGACCCAGGCCGTGCTGCGCGGGGCGCTTACCGCACCACATGTTGCTGTAGGCATTGCCCGCGTCCTCCACGTTCTTGATCACGCCGCTGCCGAGAGGAACCTTGACCGTGACGTAGCAAGCCGACACGAGGTCGCCGAACTGGAGGTCGTGCGAGGGCGCCGTGCGCGCCAGGGCGGCCCCCCGTCTCCTCGGGTTCATCCTCGAGGCCGAAGTGCGCCAGGCCCGCCTCGCGCATCACCTCCTCCAGCACGTCCCAGGCCTCGTCGGAAACCTGCTCCTCATCAAAAGGAGGACGAACCATGTCCTCGCACTTGTACTCCAGCTCCGTCAAAACTCCAGTTTGCCCAGGTGCCGCCTCAGTGCCAGCATGCACGCGTCCACGCCCCCCAGCACCCACAGCTTGGTGTGGTCCCTCCTGCCGCGGGCCCGACTGGCTCGCATCCTGTCGCCGATCGTGTAGAGCGGCTTGCGGTCCTCGACGCTCGCCACGAGCTCGCGGGGCAGCGCGACCACGGCTGGCCACGAGAAGGCAGAGCCCTCGAGGACGGCGTTGACCGTGGCGAGCCCCCACTCCTCGCGGAGCTGCTCCCGCGCCGTGCCCGACTCGTGCATCAGCGCGGGCTCGGCCAGCCCGCTAACCTCAGAGGGCGGCGAGAAGACCCCCGCCTCGAGCTTGACCATGCCCAGCACGTCGTAGAGGGCCAACACCAGGATGACCAGTGCGCCCCGCCTCGGGCGGGCGCCGCCGCCGCGCCCCCGCAAACCCGGTGGCGGCGACAGCGACTTCAGCACCTTGAACCTCTTCTTGAGAAAGACCGAGACATCTCACGCCTCGCTGGTGTGCCCGCCCCACTCCCAACCGCAGTGGAGCGCGTCGTGGTACGGCAAGGTCTGCTTCGAGACGTCCCCGCCGCCACGCCACTTCACCTGCGTGCCCTGCAGTGCCATCACGTCGTGGCGCTCCAGTACCTGGCTGATCTCCTCGGCGCAAAGGCGCCTGCACAACGTGGGCGGGTTGCAGCCGACCGCGCGCAACGGCGCGTCCCCACGAGGGGAACCACCTTCAGCGCGCCAGGGGCCTCGCGCAAGCGCAGGGAGGCAGAGGCGACGACATGGCGCAGCCCGATGGTGCCGTGAGCAACTTGGCGTCGCGGCCCGCCGAGCCCTGAGCAGATGTGCGACGCTACATACATGCATGCATGCATTCATACATACAGGTGTGGCGCAATTTGTGTGGTGCAATCTGTGCAGTCCAAGCTGCGTGGTTCAAGCCATGTGATGCAATCTTAGTGTTGCAAGCTCTTCAGCGAAATCTTCGCAGTGCAAGCATAGTGGTGGAAATAATGTGTGTCGTGCGAGCTACGATGATAAGACGAAGCCAAGACAAGGATAACATCCTGTGAACACCCATTGGGAATTTCTAAGAGCCAGTGGCTCTGGAGAATGTGTCGGGCGCCGCGGCTTTCTCAGAGCGTTCCGGAACGCGGAACGCTCTGGAACGGATTATCCTCTTCCTAACCCCATCCGAGATTTGAGAAAAGACCGACCGTCCCGGCATTCCTGTAGGCCTGCCACAACATGTTCCAAGAACAACCGTGCTCTTAGAACATGAAACCGATGTATTAACACAGCCAGGAATGTTCGGTGAACATTTCATGCAGACCGCACAGGGCTCTTAGAACACTGCCTGGTGGGCGTGTAGGCAAGCCAGGACGCTCTGCCACCTGCTCGAGAGATGAGCGATGTGGGCGGCGACTGAGGCGCCCACGGGGCGCCCACGAGGCGCCCACGAAGCCAACGTGCGAGGCGCCCACGAGGCGCCCACGAAGCCAACGTGCGAGGCGCCCACGAGGCGCCGGGCCACAGCCCGAAGGTCGCACGAGAAAGCGTCTCAGGGAGACGTCCTCCAGTTCCTCCCTCTCCTCGTCCTCCTCTCCTCTTCCTCCTCCTCCTCCTCCTCCTCCTCTTCCTCCTCCTCCTCCTCCTCCTCCTCCTCCTCCCCCTCCTCCTTTTCCTCCTCCTCCTCCTCCTCCTCCTCCTCCTCCTCCTCCCCCTCCTGGCTCAAGCCACGCTGGATTAGGGTGCCCGCCAGCCTTCCGCCTGCTTCCGCACCACGTCGGTGCACGAGGCGTCCACGGGGCGCGCGGGTGGCGACCAGGCCAACACCTGGAAACCCATGTGGAAGATTGCGGATACCCTGAAACCAAACGCGTTTTCATCTCTCGGGACGTCGACGTGTGTTTCCGCCTGCTTGCGCCGAGTTTCCGCCGCAGAAAAGATGGTTCTTTCGACCCTAGAAGACACGGCCATTTTGGGAACGCCTCATGCAAGGCGAAGCCAGGACGAGGATAAGGTCGGGTGAGGATAAGATCGAGAATCTTTGAGATCCCCAGGCTTTGGGGGATGTCTCGTGCGCCGCGGCCTTTTCAGAGCGTTCGGGAACTGTCTGGAACGACTTCATCCCCGCCCTAGCCCCGTCCGACCATGCCAGCGCAACTGGCGCCCACAAGGCGCCAATGCGTGCGGCGACCGTGCGGAAAACCAAATGCCGATGAAAGTCAATCAGTCAATCAGTCAAGCCAGGCGCCAGCAACGGCGCATCGGCAAGGAATCGGAATGAGCACGGTTGGCTCGCTTGTTTGCTAAAAGCAAAAACAAAACAATCGCGGGAGAGGGGGGGGAAGGGGCGAGGAAGCGGCGGAAGACGAAGGAGGCGAGAGGGAAGGCTAAACATCATACTTTTCAAACCATGCGTGGGCACATTCAGCCCATTGCTGTTTCGACCTCCCCAGCCTACGTGTTGAAGCCCACCTTCGTGGCTCAGAAGACCCAGGCTCGCAGGTTAAAGCCCTCAGTCAGCTGTCGCGCGGGAGTGCGGCAATTGCATCCTACAGCTTCGTTTGTTTGCCAACCAAAATATCAATTACAGGCAGGTGCCCTGCCTTCAGGAAAACATTTGTTGTTCGATATCTTCGATATGGAAGAACAGGGTATCAATAGGATTACATCAAGGCACCGAGCATGGAAGCCGTCCAGTCGGCGTTTTCCCGCCTGCAACAACCATGCGGAATCGATGTTGTACGAAATCTTTGGGAGCACAGTGGCGCTGTACAGCTCTATCTTCCCATGTCTGGCAATGTTGGCGTGCGACCAGCAACGCTGCATAGCTTTCAACACAAAACCTTTTGCCTCAAGGATTGCTCGTGCAACTTCAGGCTGAGCTGCCCCATTTGCTGTGATCAACCCTTTTAAGATAGATGGTCAGTTCCACTGTTTTCGCCGGGCTCCCAAACAGCGCGAGGATAAAGCTATCGTGCTCGATGCGGAGGGCAACCATGAAGTGTCCCCTCTGCGATCGAAGTGCCCAGCAGCAACTGCAAGTTCGTTGTGTCGCTGCTGGCGAGCATTGCATCGTCAGCGTGTGACGAATCTGTGGTAACCATCAACTGCGGTTCCTGGATGTCCAGGCTTGCTGCTTCAATCTTCTGATCGATGTCGTAAAACATGACAGAATGCACACGGATGAACATATAGGAAGAAAAGCGAACAGCCCTACGCAATCCCTGCTTTCTGGCACCTAGTCGACGAATCCCCAACCTTGTCCCTTAGCAAAAAAAAGTCGTTGGTTGTGCATCCCGGAAATGATCTGAACCATCCTGTCGGGGATTCCGAGCCGTCGCAGCGCCTCAATCAGCGCATCGTGTTTGATAATGTCGAATGTTTTGCCCAGCCCAACAAGAGACCAATGAACCCTGCCGAAGAACTCGCGCAGGCTGCGTCTACCATTCTGCGCACGATGGAAGTAGGTTGACTAGTGTTTCGGTCCGGTTTGAAACCAACTTGCGTTTTTCACATCCGCTTCACCACGCCCCAGTTTGGAGCCTTCTGTGAACCATCGAAGCCACAGGTTGTATCCCACCGGTAATAAAGCGATTGGTCGGTAGCATAACGTGAACCGTCTTCCAATATGATAGTCAATCGTTTTGGTCCCAACACGTACGGAATAAGCTCAGCAATTGATCCAACGCCTCCCAATATTGCAATACATACTTCCAAAATTCTGGCGGTATTTTGTCTGTGGCTGCGGGGCTTTCCTAGTTGAGAGTTTGTTCAATGCACCAACCAGTTCCTCCATTGTAAATGCGTTTGTTTTGACAGGCAGATCGTTTCCCAGCGTAGTTTTGGAAGTAGGGCCTGCACTGGGGTTCGTGATCTTCCACTGCGCGTGCTCGAGATAATCTGCCCAATGCGTCACCGTTTGTTGCTGTCCACCCAATTTCTTCCAGGGTCTTTGATTTGATTTCGCCGTTTGGCGGCCCCTTTCCTGAGCTGCCGGACAGCATGCCATGGTCCATTCTGCACTTGTTTTTCCAGCCATCTGCGTTTATCTGTCTGGATTGAACTGCGGATCGTTTTGGCCAATGTCTTTTCTTCTTTGTGTCCCGCTGGGCGCGCCGAGTCTGGCTCAACTAATAGGTCCAATGAGTGTTGCGATATCCAGGGCCGGTGTGCTTGTTTGTCGTGCTCACATGCCACTCTGGAGGCGCTGTGCGTTGCAATTTCGATGCGCTCAGCATTCCCATCTAAATCTTCAGGTTGTGTTTCTTTGCCCCCCAGACGGCGTCGCAATTGTCCTCTGCCAGAACGCGGTCACTGCGCAGACGTTGCCCCCGAGTCCCATAATCGGTATGCCTAACATTATTCTTCTTCGCTGTATCCAGTTGTCTAAAGCCATACTTGAAGTGAAATGCGTCTTGATGCCAGTGGCAAGTCCCGCTTTGAATGTGTACCTGTAATGTTGTCCACTAGCACCGCGACCACTAAGCAGCGGTCAATGTGTGAAAACGTGCTGCATGTGCTTCCTGCTGGAGGTCACCATCGGTACTGTAGTACATCACCAACTTGTTTTTGTTTCCAATAGTCGAAACATGTTTCGGCGATCGCGGCATCCGTCGCCCGGCAAGCCTCTATAAGGAAGTCCCTGTCGAGCGCTTTCGTATGTCGGGGTCACTTGCATTCGAGTACAAACTGCCCCAAGATGGCATCTTCTCTGGGTTGTTGGCAGAAGAGCTTCGCGTTGTAGCCGCCGAGTGCCATAGCGCATGTATGGTGGCCACGCTTTGGCCATGCAGCAATCCACCGTGGGCCCCCACCAGTGAGCAAATGTACTCTCGATGCGCAGTCAACTGTCAACGTGGTGCAGCTTCTGTTTGTTGCACGATGTATGTGTGCATGTACGAATAAAGTGCAACGCATGCGGTGCACTCTATGTGTTGCAAGGTATACTGGCACACAGTGGAACACAATATGATTGGTGCTGTGTGAATTTGATGCGACCCATATGATGCAACCGACGGGGGTGCGAGCTACGCGGTGCATTAATTGTGGTGTTATCTCTGGTTCTACTCCTCTCCTTTCTCCTGCTTGTCCTCCTCCTGCTGCTCGTGGTGCCTCTCGTCCTCCTCCCTCGTGCTCCTCCTCCTCCTCTTCCTGCTTCTCCTCTTCCTTCTTCTCCTCCTCCTCCTCCTCCGCCTCCTCCCCTTCCTCCTCCTCCTCCTTCTCTTCCTCCTCCTGCCTCTCCTCCTCCTTCTCCTCCACCCCCAGCCCAATCCCGCACAGCACCCTCCCCTCCCCGATCCCTCCCACTCCTCCACTGCTCCCCACCCGCCCTCCCTCTCCTC